ATAAGATACAGATGTGATGAACAGGAGGTGTCAATCGCGGGGAGGCTCCTCGTCGACCTCGCTTCCAATTGGTTTCCGCCTCTCACCTATAAAGGTCCACTTAAACAACTAAAATGTATTACAATGATGGTCACTTTTGTGGTCAAACTTTATTTCGCTACGTGATTTGGCTAATGATAGCCGTAGGCCTTGGAATTTCACTAGGGTCGTCGCCCACAGCTTTAAAGGATACTTTATGACCATCAAATTAGTGTCTTGACAGTTTTGTTTATGTGATAATATTACATTTGGTAGTCACTTTAGGATCTGTCTGGCCCTTGTACACGTGGGCTGGCTCTCGAGTCATGCTAAGGCTAATTTGTTCTGTCGTTTTCAAAATACACATATGCAACTGCAATTACTGGCTTTTTAAACTGAATATGAAGTCTCGGAACGCTATATTATCAGCAAGCATAAAGATTTTGTGAAAAAATGGGACCAATTTTGCGTAAATTTAGATAAGTACTTGTCGAATTTACTGGACCTCGGCTTTTACTTCCTGTTCTTTTGTTTAGCACTTTTTTTATTGTCGAAAGCCAGTGAGGAGCCTTATTTAAAGCCTTTGATTAAACTTGCTAATTTTGTTGACATTGATAGCGGACTTTAAATTTGACAGTTCTCTAACTTGGAATTTTTAAGTGGCCTGTTTTAAAATACAATATAATGTTAGTTACAATTTTTATACATACAATAAAATGAGCTTTTTTACCACTTATTTGATCTATTTTGTTTTGCCTCTGCCTTAATAATGCGTTTGTTAACATTGTCTTCCTGTCAGGCGCATCTTTGAGTCCGTGTTTTCATTTACGTTTTTTCGTCTTGTGCTACGTCGAAATTTTACAATACTTTATTGGGCACTCTAAACTTATAGATGCCGAGAATCGCTTTTCAAAGATATCATCATGTGCCTCAATATCGGGGGTAGGTTATTATAGACAAATACTTGTTCATTCCTCTGAAATCCTCTAAAACGCTTCTTCACTGGATATATATGGAGTTAGGATCCGTTCGAATTCTTATGTGGCACATATGCCTTTTGATCCCATCTGCTGTTCTGCTATTTTTCCTGGGGCAAAACCTTCCCAAGAGAATGAAATGCTATCGGGTCTTCTAATGCGTTCTCATTCGCAATTAACCCCCTCACTTGGTGAGCAGCAGGCTATCGCAACTTTGGTAGCAAAGACCGTAGAATATCTGGAATCGATTGCTCTTGAGAGAGGGCATCCTCAAATCGGAGTAAGTATTGCATTGTTGTGCATCTGTGAATCAAGTAGTCTTAAACTTAAGGTAAGCCAAATGATAGCTGCAGGCATTGCTTTTACTGTGGCGCATAATCGCTAGTTGCAAAGATATAATTTTTCTGGGAATTAAAGTTGTAAATGGTTTTTGCAAAGCATTATGTTGGCTTTGGTTTCTGGACTGATGTAAAACTTCCTGATTTCTTTCCCCTTTATGGAATTCTGTACTTGGATTTTGTGACATCCATTACCGTTAGTTTGTGTTAGGTGCTCTCATTTGCCATGCTTTAACTTAGCAAATGGAAGAAGTCCGGGTGGTTGGCTCCTTCAAAGAAGGTACGATTTTGGCAGGACATTGCTTGGCAGATGTTGTCGTTCTGCTTCGCGACTTACCCACTTTCGATGTGGCTAGGAACATTAGCCTTCTGCTAAAGCAAAAATTTTTGGTCAATGAGGTCGAGGAAACTGAGGAGCCTCTTGAGATTCTTCATCAGCCCTATGGTTTCGACCTTGAGTACCTCGGAGTCTGCATTCGCGTGGCGTTTGCTATACAGAATTTTAACGCAATAAGAAATACAGACACTGGAATTCATAGTAGGCTTGTTTTTAGATAATTTGAAAGTTAAACTTCAGTTTAGACATTTTAGTGTGTCTATAGAGCCTGATTTTTTATTCCTAATTTCGGATAATTGCTGGATTTTTTTGTAAGGTAGCCAATTTATTTTTTTTGTCCCCTTTCCAAAAGCTGTTTCATTTCGGTTACTGAAAGTCCTTTCTATTCATA